AGAATCCTTCAACAAATTTGTTATTCAATTGACAAAATAAATTTGTCTATCTTGTTCAAATCAATGGGGCTCCTGGAAAATTGAATATTCTTTTCAAATTCTTAGGGTTTTTTGTTATCTATTATGTGATTAAGTAACACAATCTAGTATCTATGATACATATATAGATTGTAGGCATAAATTTCCCTTCTTTAAATAGTTCTGAATATTGGTTTTAGCCCAAATGAAGTTTCCTATAGGTTTTAGTAACATAATAACCTGACAGCCTTGAAATTACTGACAACTTTGCATTATGACCTTAAATTTTAAATTACAATATAAATCCCAGTTTATTAATGTTTCTTTCCCACATTATTAATATCTTTAAGTGGGTTAAAAAGTGACAACCCATTTCTAATTAGTGAAAACATGGAATAAGTTCTTCTGCATGTTTCTGTTTTATTTGTAAAAATTAATATTATTCATACATTTTAGATATACATAATGATCACATTCATCATAGGGAATTTGTACTGTACATGATACATCTTGAGTCATTTTTCCCCCTTTCCTTCCCTCCCCTTCAACCCCCTCTTCCCCTCCCTATTTACAAAAGCTTTGTGTGTTTCTGTTTTTTTTGTTGTTGTTGTTTTTCTCCGGTACCGGGAACCGAACTCACAACCTTGCTCTTGCCAGGTAGGCGCTTTTGCCGCTGAGCTAAATCCCCAGCCCCTGTGTGTTTCTGTTTTAAAAATATGAACTAGCTCTGCGAGGAACTGGAGCTATGCTGCCTGCTACGTATAGCCAGCTAGTAACCAGACGAGCTCCCTCCTCGAGGCGGGTGGTGACGCACTGTCACAGTGCAGCAGCCTGGCTGAGACAGCTGCTCTTTGAGGCTCAGTGGAAAGGGCACGAAGCCAGCTCCATCCCTAGACCCAGCGCCTCCCTGTTGGATGCTGCACGGCAAGAGAACAACACAGGTGAGCGGCTCTGCTGCGGCTGCCATGGCAACCACGTACCTGAGCGGAAATGGACCGCTACCTGTGTTCAGGGCTTTGGGAATCACTAAAAGGCCTCCATTTAAAAATTAATTTTTGAAATCTTTTGAAAATCAGCCGTCAATATTATTATTTATTGTATTATTCAAGGTCATATTTGATCTCTATGCCTCAATTTCTTCACCTAAAGGGACAATAGTATGTCAGTCATGTTTTGTTCTTATTGTTGGTACAGCAAGGTGGGTAGGGAGTTAGAACATATTTTACACTCCTGCCATAGACAATAGGTAGATACAACACAGTTTACTTGCATAAGGGGTTGTATTTTTCAAGGTTAATGGGCTGACCAGGTGAGCCCAGCCTGCCTCCAAAGAACACCACCCAAATCCGACCTATGCTTGGTTAGGGGTCAGTGCCGCCTGCTAGCTGCTCTATTTCCTGGCTTAAGAAGTGGAGGAAGCTCTTCTGGTTCTATGGCTGGAATTTTAGGGTTCTGGGAAGGGATTCTGGAAGTCTCCTGGTTGTTCGTCTTTGCTCCATTCCCACTGAGGACAGCCACTTTAATAAGTAGAAGTTTCATAGTGTTTCCTGTATTTAGAAATGTTTACATAGCAGCAGATAGTCTCGCTATAGTCATATCAGTCCTGCATGAGGACAACTAAGGTTGGTAGAGTCGCTGCTGGCTAGCACTGTGCTAAGGACTTTGTATGGATTTTTACTCTTTAGAAAATCATGGCTCAAAAGCTGCAAAAAACTGATACTTGTGTGTCAAGAAGACATCAGGTGGGTGTTGAAATGCGGAGGTGGCCAGTGAGTTGCCAGGGTCCCTCCTGTGGAAACTTCCAAGGTTTCAGTTATCCTTAAGTGAAACCTCGGTGGCCAAGGGAAGCGGGGGGAGACACCAAAGCTGGAGAGATTTAATTTGCTCCTTAACTTATTACACGGCGTTATTTATGACCTACTGGCACAGAAAATGTTTTATTGATTGTATGTTATGAAGTGTTTGTTTTTCTCAACTACGTGTTCTGCCCTCTGGTCATGCTGAAGGGAGCTGAGCAGATGCCAGGGCAGCAACTCCAACCACAAATCATCACTGAGGGCTGTTTTCAAAGACAGTGTTCTCCTAATCAGAGGGGCAGCAGCTCGCTGTCTCTGTTTTTCTTCAGCATCTGGCTTTCCTGCTTATTGGGCAAGTTTTAGTTCTTTAGACAATTAGCTGCTGTCTGGAGGTGAGAAGGCATATGCATGACTATGATGAAGGCGCGCTTTTAGATTTCTTATTGGGAAACAAAAGAGGATCTTGAAATTTAGATAGACAGCTAACGATCAGTTTTGCTCTCTAAGGAAGTTGGGTGCTTTTTCCTTAAATTTTGGAGTATAAATTCGCTATATTTTTTTTAAAAAACTGTGAGAGTCTGGCATTGTTTTCTTGCCAAATAAGACACTAAATTGGTGGATATTTTTAGTGACTAGTTTATTCATAAGCAAGAAAAAAGACAAATATTAAGATCTTATTTCCAGTAGCAAAAATTCATGTTATCAAAGTCTTAAAAAAGGTTTTGAATTAGAGAGACTTGCACCATCGTGTAATAGATAATCTAGTAGATTCATAAGACTGTTCTTTACCTAGTTTTAGTGGTTGACAGTTTTAAAATTAGGTAAGGATTCTTACCTTCTTGTGTCTGCAGACTATTAGATTATTTCATTATTCACTGGAAAATCCTCCAAGTATCCTTTCTTTTTTTCAAATAATTTTAATTGAATGTAATACATCAGGGAATGAGTTATCATCCATAGAAAATAATAACATATTTTATTTTTAGAGTATTTCCTAACCAATTGAAAGCTGTGCTGTGTTCATTTATTCTGATAACTTTAAAATACATGCAAAGTTGAAATGAGGTATCATGCAAAATCAAAATTTGAGCTAGACTTCTCTACAAAGCTTCTTTACATTTATGTTCAGATATGTGTCACTTTCATAATAATTTTCTAACATAATCCTAAAGTATACTTCACTTTCATTACTTTTACCACATGTAAATACTAATTTAAACATGCAGAACCTGCAGTCATGTTAGTACTCTGAATTTCATTGGTTCACTATGACAAAATGAGGTCTTCCTCCATTTTTCCATTTTGTTCCTCACTCAGGCTAAGTCATTTTGCTGTGGTCATTTCCCCACGCCCGACACACATCCACCCACATTCCTCACACACTTGGAAGGTGCTGAAGACTTAGCGACCAGCTTCTTCCAAGCCAGGAAAGCTTTTTTTGACTAAAAACTCTGGTGTTCCCCAAAGCACATAGCAAGAAATGTTAGCACAGGAGCAAGTAAGCCAGGTTTGTGACCCTGGAGGCCCGAGTTCAGCCTGGAACTGGAGCCTAAAGGGTTCAGTCCAAGGTCTGGAGCTCACTGCAGTGCTCTTTGTATCAAGAGGCCAGTGGGTCTTCAACAGAAGGCTGGAGAGTCTACATGAGGAGGCTGAAGGATCCAAAGCCAAAGCCAAAGTGTCTGCCTGCAGTAGAAGCCAGGAGATAACATCCAAGCTGAAGGCAAAGACTGGAGTTCCTTCGAAGGACAGAAGCTAGCCTGTCCTTCCTCATTTCCCTTTTATAACATGCAGGTGCCCTGAGGTATGCTAGGGTGGGTTCTCTACACCCTAGGGTGCAGACAGCTGCCCTTGGACAGGTCCTTAACATCCTAGGGTGTAGAATTGCTGAGCTGAATTAGTTAAGCTTCTAACCTTCTCAAGTAACACAATCAATCAACCACTGAATCTCATCAGAGAAAAATAATTTGCAGGATGCATCAGTAAGAGATATAATAGGATTTTTTAGGCAGAGACTTAAAGTGTGTGCTAAAAGAAAGAGTGCAGGTATGTGAATGTGTGTGTGTGTGTGTGTGTGTGTGTGTGTGTGTGTGTGGGTGAGAGAGAGAGAATGAGAGAGAGAGAGGCACTTTATGATCCTGAGCTGGGCATATTTACGGGTTGTGGGAAGCTTCAAGGTAGGTGATCCAGGGGGTGTGTTCCTCCTATCTCTCAGGTCACCCATCTGGCCACTGTGACAGAATTCAAGATCTGTACATGTGTTTGAAGTTGAGATCTGCTGCCCACTAATATTGCTGCTTTCTTAAGGATGCAGGAAGCACAATTTATAGGTGGAAAGCAGTGGTTTACTCATAGATGGAAAAGCCCAATTTACAGGTAAAAGGGAATTGCACCGGTTCATTGTGTCTGGGAGACAAGAGAAAAGAGCATTAGACTGGGCTTGAGGAACTTTTATGTCCTGAAGCTGCAGTTTTTTTCAAACAGGGTAGAAGTTTAGTTATGAGTAGGAAGTCAGAGCAATCTAGAGGTGGGGTGAGATAAAAGAAAGCATTGGATAACAGAAAGAGTCCAGTGAAAGGAAATAGTCCAGCAAGTTAAGACCTAATGCAAGCAGCTAGTTAACCTTAGAAATGTCAAAGAAAACACAAGGACAAAAGGTGAAAAGTTAGGATAAGAATGAAGATAAGGACCTTTCCTCCCAGCAAGGAAAGTTTTTGATATGTTACCATATTTGCCCAACAATATGACCAAGTGTTATATTAATTTTTACTCCAAAAGATGCAATGAGGACTTATTATCTGGGACTGTCTTATCTTTTCATGTACAGCAATCTAGATGTATTCATGCACAAAGATCTACATTTATTCAAATGCACTCATAGCACCTTCTTTTGGAACATCATCATAACTCTGTAACCCTTAACAATCTGCATTTCTTGAGACTCCACTTCCTGTGGAACCATTGGCCCCAACTGCTCACGTCCAGGAACGAAGCTCTCCATAATGAGCACTTGGTGTCGCTGATCCTGCTCACAGTGCACCAGCAGCACAGCTGTCAGTGATTTTATCCCATGAACTCTGCATGCAAGTCATGACTTCTTGCAGGCCGGCTTCACAAAGTTTCCATTAAATCAAGTGTTAACTGATGATTTATGAGTCAGGAGTGCAACAAAACCGATGAAAGTTGAGAATGATGGTCCACACAACAGTGATGAAAACTCACAGGCGCCGAAATTCAGAAAACAATCATATTCTACTTAGTACCAGTCTGTTCAGAAATTTCCTTTGAGTTAACATCCAGGGACAATTTGGAGACAAATATAGACGACTGCATCTTCACAGCTGGAAGAGAATGCAAGATTTAGAATATTGTCTGATGGTCTGCAAGCAAAACCTGCAGTAGACAAAAGCAGGGAACAGCGACTTCCTTCCACCATTGCAGTAGAAGAGTGAGACTGAGCTGACCCCATGAGAACCGAGGCAGTAAGGGATTTTGTGCCCTGGAGTGAGCTCATGGAAAAGTACTGGGGACAACCACCCCTCCCACAAGCCATTAGCAGGGAAGAGGATCAGCTCAGTATGTGGAGCACATTGAGTTATTCCTGAATTTGCAAATACTTTTCTCTGTGATTAGGCCATCTGTGTTTGCGAGTTGGTGCTCATGGAAATTAGGCTTCTACCCTCCTGTGGAGACCAGGAGAGAGGAGTGCTATGTTCTTTCATATCTATATTTCAAAGAGAAACTTTCTAGGTCTTTGAGAAATACATTCCTGGGTTTTAAAATTGGCAAGTGTCTCTTTAAAAAGATTTGTACCTGAAAGAACAGAGAAAGAATTGGTAATTATAAGTTTCCTAAAGTAAATGTCCTAAGAAAAGGGAAGTCAGAAGCTAGAGCAAGGAGTTTAGCCAACAAGAGCAAAAGGTCTGCAGGAAACAAAGGACCCCGGCTGAAATCAGAGGACCCACTCCCCACCTACCCACAAGGAAGTCACAAAATAAAGCCAAAGACCATCACTTTTTGCAGACTCTTACCCTAAAACCTAATCCAGAGCATAGAGAAGTACGCTGGATCGTGAGGCTTCACTCCTTGCCTTAGTGTCCAAAACCAAGCTGTCCAGAATGGAAGCAGGAACCTGATGGATGAGGTGGGGAAGCCCAGCGGCTGCCACAGGACCTCTCCTTTGAGCAGAAGACCTGCAGGACAAAGAAGAGAGCAAGACGGACCCCTGAGTTCATGGGCTCCTGAGCATTGATTACCTGCATGCATGAATCTGGTCAACGGCACTCGTGACCCTTGCTCCACAGAGGAGGAACTGAAAGGCAGTGTGTTTGTAAGATTCCCCTTCAGGTAGCCAATACCTCAACAGACAAGTTGATAGGAGGAGAGGACTTTCATCCACAGTATCCAGGTCTCCCGAGGGGTGGGCTGGCACCATTGCTATAGGCTGGAGATGAAGGGGTGTCTCAGTGAGGGGCACAGTGGTCCAAAGTTGCTTCACTGATGGCAGCCAAAACGCACACTGAAAAGAGCAGAGGAGCACCTCGGACCAGATAGTGTCCAGAGTCACACCTCTGCGACTCGCGGATTTACTTCCACACCTCCAGAGGCTCCACTTCCTGATTCCGTCACCTTCCAATAATGCCATCACATGTGATCTGAGCTGAGGACTGCGGGTGTTACAGCCCTCACCAAGCAACCATTTTCCAAAACGCATCAGCCACTCCACCTTCAGCACAATGAGTCTGAGGGGGCCATAGCGAAATCATAACAGACAGACACGACAGGAGAGTAACGAAGAAGCCTTAGTGCCCTACACACGGCACATGATTTCAATGCACCAATTATTTCTGCAGCTAAAAGCAAGAACTAGAAAACCTGAGGTTCAAAGATCTCTGAGAACCTTTTTGGGTCACGCACATCTATGCAGATGGTACCGTGTAGACGTGGGGTTATGCCACCCACATCCAGGCTGGGTCCTCCCTTCAGTGTGCTGACCCTTGGGCCCCTAACACACTGCGCTGGTCGGCTTGACTGCCCGAAGATACTCGGGGATAGGGAACTAACATCAGGGACAGCAAGACTTCAAATTGAGGACGCACGCACCCCACACAAGTGCAGCTCAATCTCCCTTAGCCTCTTTGGGTCTTGCAAACTAAGCAACTTTAATTCCCTGCATTAATTGTGGAGTAATTAAAGTTCAGGAGCTTATGAACTCAGGGATCTGTCTTGCTATCTTCTCTGTCTTGCGGGTCTTCTGCTCAAATGGGAGGTCCTGTGGCAGCCGCTGGGCTTCCTCACAACTATAAGGTACATCTACACAGTGCACATCTATACAGTGCTACCGTAATTCATGGACTTGATTTTTCACATGATTCTGGTCATAAACCGAACTGGATGAGAACAGTATCAATTTCAATTCACAGTCCAGCCTACTTCCCTGTGTTCTGCATTATGTTCAATGCTGACCTTATGGGTAAATTTGATTTGGTTCTCATTCAATTTAGTTTGGGCGCAGAGTAGTGGAAAGAATTAAGATTATGAACCGAGGTGTATGTATCTTGCGCTTGAATTCCGTTTTGTTTAATGTCGGTTAAAATAAGTGTTTTATGATCCAGACTTTATACTGAGATTTCAGATTTTGCTGATTTTGTAGCAATGGAGTTCATGTCAAATTTGTGCACAGGTGGACTGATCTAAAGATTAGGGAAATAGAGCGGACTGCTTCGAGTCTTAGCAGTTTCCCAGATGTGCAGCTACTATTTAGAAATTGTATTGAAATTGTGAATTAACACTTTCCCCCAATAAATACTTTTTCCTGGACTAATCTTTCTGATTGCAGTGCTTGACTAGGCAAGTCATGACTGAATACAGCCGAGCAGCTGGCTTAGTTAGCAAGACTCGAAGCGGCTGAGGGAGACTGAGCTGTAAGCCTGAGGGGCGCGTGCCTCCTCAGCTTGAAGTCTTGCCATCCCTGAGGTTAGTTCCCTGTCCCTGAGAACCTTCACGCAGCCAACGGACCAGCCTGGTGTGTGAGGAGCCCATGGGCCAGCACACTGAGAGGGAGGACACAGCCTGGATGTGGGTGACACTGTCCGGTAGGATGGGAACAGAGACAGAAGTGGAGTTCTCGAATATGTGCTACCTCAATTCCTCTTGAAGGTGTCTATGGTTTTTGTTGCTACCGTCACCTGCAAACAGTAGACACCAGCTCTGAGCAGCTGTTCACTTGGATTCATATCAGGACTGGTCACTTGGATTCCTATCAAGGAATCTGGGGGGCTTTCAACTTCGGGTGGGAGCTGCATCCTTGCTCTGCCTGGTTCTCAGGCCTCCAGCTTCCTGGACTGAGCAGATTCTGGCTCCCTAGTCTGCACCTGCAGGCGGCCCTTGTGGGGCTGTTCAGCTCTGACCATATAAACCAATCAAAGAATCCCATCATAAGTGTGCATCTCATGTAGCACACACACACTATGGGCTCTGCCAGGCTGGAAAGCTGCCTAGAACAACGGAAACACGAACCTACCCTCCCTGTGCCTGTCACTGCCTCCCTTCTGACTGCTGGGATGTCCCAGGTACTCTGACCTCTCCCCTGCTTCCTCAGCTCTGGTGAAGATTTTTGGGGTATGGACACTTGTTCAAAATGGCACATCTGCTAGGGGTAGAAAGTCCCACTGCACCATGGGGGTGACACCCGCTGGATATGTGCTTCTCATTTGGTTGAGTAAATTCTGAATAATCTTGAGAGCTTAACATAGCACCTTTTCCTCTTACAGTGTAGACAAGGATGAGCTACTTAGCACTCTGTGCCTTGGGTTCCTCTTTAGGAGATGAGAGCACATGATTTCATAAGAGAATTAAGTTTCAAACAGTGTTAAGCAAAGTTAAATGCTGTAGTTATTTATTATTTATTGTTTGCCTTTGTAAGAGCTACAGGTTTTTCTATATTATTTTGTTTCCACTCCTGTAATTATGAAAAATGAGTTTTCATAATTATTTAATATGTTCAGGTATATGCTTCTTTTCACTGATTGGTCATAGCCCATTGCTTAGGTATAATATGAAATGCACATACTGTTGGATCTGAATTACATAACTCCATGTATAACTTTCATAAATAGAATTTTCAATCTTTATTCTTCCATGATGGAATAACTTTGTATGTTCTGGCTCATATGATAACTTTTCATTATCATGACAAGAACATTGTCAAATTCAAAAACACCACTTCATCCTGATCTATGAAGTGTTTGAAAGACAGACCCCACAAAAGCTTCAGAACTGACTTCTAAGCTCTTCGGCGCGTCTTAGTCACCTTCTCCTCTCAGAGTACAAAGTCTGACACCTGCAGCTTAGGAGAGGAGAGGCTTGTTCTGGCTCACAGTGGTAGAGGTTTTATTTCGCGGTCTGCTGGCTCCAAGGCTGGACAGCGTGGCAGAGGGGCACGACAGGCGAGAAGCTGTTCAAGACATAGTGTTAAGGAACAGCAAAAGCAGGAGCTGGGTAGGGAGGCAGAACCGTGCAGGCCACCTTTCAGTGCAAGTCAGTACAGCCCGAAAACCGCCCTTCCAAAACCCCTTCTATGAATGCATGCAATCCTTGGGGGGCATCTAGATACAAATTACAACAGTAGGGCTGACTTTGGGCTCTTTTGTAGCTGGTAAGGAGTGTTTTCCTTCATGGTTTTGATTCATTACTCCATGAAAATTATTTCCCAGAATACTATAAGCAGCAATGTTTAATATAACCATAAAAATGTCTAGCTGAAGCCAGGCATGGTGATATACCCTGTAATCCCAGCACTGGGGAAGTTGATACAGGAGGATTGCTGTAAGTTTGAGGCCAGCCTGGGTTACAAAGTAAGTTCAAGTCCAACTGGATGTATATAGTGAGATCTCTTCTCAAAAATAAAAATCTTACAGAGTGTGATGGTGCGTGGCTATAATACTAGCTACTTGGCAGGTTTAGGCAAGAAAACTGCAAGTTCAAGGCCAGCCTAGGCAATTTAGAGAAAGCACGTCTCAAAATAAAATTTAAAGGGGTTGGGGATGCAGCTCATTGTCAGAGAGCTTATTTAGCATTGCAAGGCCCTAGTTAAATTCCCAGTACTTAAAAAAGAAAACGTATTCTTCCTAGAAATTAAACATATTTAGTTCCAATATATAACACAGCTTAACCTCAGTTCTTATTTCTTCTAGTGATATCACTACTAAACTACGTGCTTTACAATTTCTTGGTTTGTCCCGATTCTTTAACTTAATCAAGTTCCCTTACCTTTCGTTTTATAGCTCTCCCGTATGGCAGCCCAGAACCTGGCACCAAATGCAGAGACTTACAGGCAACCTCTTTCAGGAAATTCATAAAAATAAAAACTTAGAGAGGAATAAATTGAAGTGGAGTGAGTTTAGGAGTGCCACTGGAACTCCACATCACTAGAACAGGACATGGCCCCTGCAGAATACTGGCTGTGGATCCTTTATCCTCTGTCTTCCTGCTTCTGATGGGAATGGTGCTGAAACCCAGGAGGAGAAGAATGTCCTAATCACAGTCACTGGTGACCGGCCCTGGGGTGGACACATGACTCTGAGGGGACCAATAATATTCCCTTTCTGAAAACCTGAAGGCTCAGACACTGAAATTGTTGATAGCTATGTCATGTCAATGATGGTAGTGTCAGCCTAGAGACAGCTTCAACTCCAATTCTGCAACCCACCTTTTGATGAATCTCTTATGAGCCTTGTGATTCTTATCTGTTTTCTATCTCTCTTTTAGTACCAATGTGTCAGGGGTTGCGCTAAGTGATTCTGAGCCTTAGGTGTGCAGAATACATCCTCTGTTTATTGTGCACACAAGGAACGCAGTTCAGTGAGGTTAAGTAAATAGTTGCATATGTCACAGCTAGGAAGTAATAGGAAAGTGACTGATTCACATGTTCTCCCTTGGAAAATGCTTATGAAATGACCTCTAAGTGACAAATGGATTTAAGAGAACAGAAACTGGCATTCCTGCTACTTGACAATAGGAAATCTTGAATTTTCTGTCTAAGCTACCTAGTGCTAAAATGTTATCATATATGGGTGTGATGGCCAGAGGTGGATACGCAGAGGTAAGGGACTTTTGGAGCCACACATCCAAAACCTCTTGGAATGCATAGTCAGAGAGTGAAAAATAGCCTAACGTGCCACAAATCCTAGTA